TGAAATTTGCATTCAATAATTCTGTAAATGCATACACAAAGATGTCTTCATTTTACTTCATGTACGGTGCTCATCCCATTATTCCATCAAGTTTGATGAAACTTTCAAAAGAAGATGAGATCTCAACTAAAGAAGTCACGGTCAAGGAGTTTGTGGAATATATCTATAGAAGGCTACATCAAGCAAAGAAAAGTTATTGATTGTTTGAAATTGACAAAAACAACATGCCAATGTTCATTGTTAAGAGTTAACATTTTGAGGTTGGAAATTAGGTTTGGTTATCTACAACAAATTTGTCTCTTATAAAAATATCAAAGTTTAACGTTATATTTATTGGTCCTTTTTTATTTTAAAATGTCTTTGTGAAGTGTCATTCAAGTTGAAACTTCCTGTTATATATGAAAATACATCTTGTATTTCATGTGTCACAATTACAAAAACATATATTGCAAAAAAAAAATTCACAATGCAACCATTGTTAACTTTTTTACCGACCTTGATAGTAGATTATGTGGAATTTCAGGTAGAAAAGATACTCAAGAAATTGATTTCAATAAATGACAAATTAATCAAAATTATCAATTTTCTTACATTTACAATTTTGGGTCTTTGCATGAAAATCATTATCTTTAAACCTTATTAGCTTAAAGGAATGATACAAATTTTTTATCACTTTTTTGTGATGACGCCAAGATTTTCAAATATTAGAGTTCTGTGATCATATTCATTCACTTGCTTTGAAATCAAAGATTGCAAATATAGTATAATAATACTCACGACTTGCTTATTGGTAAAAGCTTTAGTTGTTGTTGTTGTAGGTGAATGATTTAGGCCGCAATCATTTGTCTAAATCCTTAGATTTTAGTCTAAATTTAATTTGTCTTTCTCAAAAAAAATAGTCATCACATTTTTTGTATATAATTATGTTATGTCATGTTTTCTCAACTTTTTTATCACCATCTTTTTTTGTTATACATTTGAAGTTGTCCATGTTGTTGAATATATATTTTTTTCTTTTTTCTTTTATTCTTTTATTTCTTTGCTTCTTTAGAATCAAAAATACTATTCTACTTCTTTTGTTCTTTACTACATGTTCACAAATTGGTCAATATGCGATAGTTACACACAAATTATTTAAATCACTTTCCACACATTATTTAGTCGGAGCTGTCACTTTTGCAAAGTCAAGCTTGGTCTTGCTCCATCCTACAATTCTTACTCTTTAGGGTCTTTTCTTGAACACAAACTCAAAAAATTTCAGAAGCTTCAGCATCACGTACTTCTCTAATAAAGAAGCTCAAAGCTCCAAAATGATTACATCCATCATCTCATCAGCGGCTCTAGAATTCAAACTGCAAATTGTTAATACTCATTTGCAATCTGATACGAATTCACAAACAAAACACAACATAAGAGTTTTGATAAAATCTTGAACATCCATATCTTCAACTTGCAAAAATGCAATCTTGTCAAGTGAGCTAAACGACAATGTCAAGTCTACATTTTTTAAAATCCAAAATTTCACACAATTTGATCTTTCATCTTTTGCTTACTTTCACTTTTAGTTGAAAATCAATGAAATGGCTAGAGTATATATTGCTAAAATTCAAAAAAATAAAATTAAAACACAAAAAAAATTACTACTTAAAATCGTTAAATGTTTGTTGAAAGCTTTTGTTCATTTTTGTAATAGTTATAGCATCAACAAAACCATAAATAGAGTTGAACCAACATAAATTAAAATAGACATGAGTAAATAACTACCAACATCTTTCACCGTTGATATTGAAGCAAAGTTTATTTTTTTCATCTTAAAAGCATATAGTTGTTACCTTAAACAATAAAATTTTGCTACTTAGATGTGAAAATTGAATAGCGTTTACATTAGAAAATTCTCAACGAGGTTTGTGACATTTTGGCGTTGAGCGCAACAGTGATGCAACAGCTTTCTATGTGTAACATATGTATTAAACTTCATTTTCTGTTTTCATTTTTTGATATCTTTATCTCTCTTGTCTTCTCTGTTATTGTTGTTGTATGTTTCAATATACAACAACGAGACAAGAGAGATAAAGAAATATATTTCTCTTTAGCAATGTTTCATACTTTAGAGTGTAACAAGGAGATAGACATCTGAACATGATCAAAGGCAAATCAGAGCTGATTTGGATTTTTGATGCCAGTGATCAAATTATTCTTTAGCAACTTGAGGATCAGAAGAGAATTAATATAGAAAAAAAAGATGAGTCTTCATTGTTTTATGAGCAGTTAATGGTATGCAATCAAAAGATAGCAATGTGAAATTAAATACATACAAATTGCAATTAGTGCAAATTTCAACATCTAATGTTACAGCTTCAAACATATATCTTATTTTTACAACATTTAATGTGTGTGATAAAGCGATGAAATAAAACCCCTTTTAATAAAAATTAAATTATTTGATTGGATTTCAAATATGCTGTTATATTTACACAATCTTGAGTCAAAATTTCTTTCAAGTTATTTTTAATGAGTCATTAAAGAGTAAATCTCAAACATAGATTACTAAAAATGTGAATTTTTTCAAAAAATAAAATTTATCATTATGTAAAACAAAAAAGATTAACTTCACGTTGAGATATTGTATTTTTTTGCTTTACTGCACAAATGCATTTGAAAACACATTGTTATTTTGTGTATTAAGGAAAAAAAATATGTTAACTTCAGAGCCAAACTCTAATATACAAGATATATGTGATAGATTGAAGTTTGTGACATTTATTTATCATTGGTTTGATATTTGCTTTCCACAAAAGAAATATATCTTGTAGATTAAATCATGAAGCTAGCTTTACTAGTATAATAGATACATCTTGATAGGGAATGTGCCAACAACAATGATGTTAGATGTGAAGTATATGGCTAAGTTTATGCTTTAAATTTGTTTGGACTTAGTCAATCACCTTACACAAAATTGAGATGAAGTTGACTATAATCTCACATAGCTACATCTAAAGAGAAGAAACCATGGCAAACAAAATTTTAGCTAGAGGATTTGGGTTGAGCAATATCTTCAACAAGAAAAAGCTTGCTCAATCTTGCGCCAAAAAACACATGTTTTACTTTAAGATTAAAAATTATCTTAGTATGTTTTATCATTATTTTTTAACCCATAGATAAAGTTAAACAACCTATCCATCTTGTCAATGTGTTGGCATACCAACAAATCAACAAGAGCATTAGATTGATAATATTATTTTTTCACGAATGAAAAAAATTGTTAAATCAAACACACAACGGGTGAACTGGGTAGCCAGTTGACAAGAAGACACAAATGACATTTTGAATATTCAACGGAGAAAGATGACTATTATGAAGGTAAGGAAAGTTAAAACTTGATATTATTAAATATGATGAGTGTTATGATAATTTCAAATGGCTTACGTATGATTTTCAAAAGATACATGAGTAATAATTACTTCACACTTTTTGACAATCGAAGGTTGTGACTTGATATAAATAAATTTGATCTATAGTTTTGTGTCATGGGCAAGCATCATAAGACAGTTTTTGGTGTTGAAACTCATATTTTCAAATAATATACTTGAGTATTCACAGAGTAATGCAAAAATCTTTTGAAAAATTTCATTCTTTAATAAAATTATACTATGTATTATATCTTGATGCTTGCTCAAGATTTTTGTGGATTTCTTTTATTACAAAAAAGAAATTGAAGGCTTTACAAATTTCATAACTTGTTAAAGTTGAAACTTGAATTGTACACAAAATGAAATATCAATATATGAATAATGAAAAATATACACTTTGAGAAGAATGGCAGTTATTGCAAAAAGAAAAAGGTCACTTATCATCTTATTATAATATATACTCACAACAAAAAGTTATTTTTGAGATGCTTATTCAAAAAGTATTGCAGTTTGTTACATTAATTTGATTAATCATACAAACTTTGGACTAAAGCTATCAATGGCTTTAATTATTGAGTATATATTTTTTTTTTGCAATTCATTCTTTGACATCGTTTTAGTTGGAACATAAATAGATCACTAAGTATAATTGTTCAAGAATGTTTGATTATATGGCTTATCCTATCATATCTAATTTAAAAAACAAAGTTGAATACTACATCCAAAAGATATTGTATTATAAATATGCAAGTAATATGAATAGTTATAGGCTATGAGATATTGTAGCTTTTAAGACATTTTTTGAGTTTGGTTGTTATTATGAGCTTATATCATCAAAAGACTCCTCTTTTGATGATATAAGCTCAATTTTATTGGACATTATGTGTTGACAAGAATAAATCTTTATTCACATATATATAGTTGTGAGTATCATCGATCATATTGAATTCAAAAGTGTATCGCAAGGAGTTGTTAATCAATTCTTGATGATATTGAAATTAAGTATGATGATGAGGATGTATTGATTTTAAAAGAAAGTAAATATTGTTCTTAAAGAGAAAATCAAGCTTCAATCAATTAGTGATGGTGAAATGGTGCTTTGAAACGTGGAATATAATTCCTGATTAATAACAAGAAGTGGAAATTTCAAATTTTGTGGAGATTTGAAATATTCAACCTTTGATTGATAATAAATGGATATACAAGATGAAACAAAATCTAACAAATGATCAAAAAATTTCTACAATACTAGTATAATGGCTAGATAATCTAAATGGATAGATCTTAATCTAATTCTATCTTGATTGTTATATGAGACAGTATAAGATTTGTTGAGTTCTTTATAGTTGGTTTTGTTTCTTCTCCACAAGTAAATTTGTTAAAACTTGATCCAAATTGTTGGAGTATGCGTGGAGGACAACACCACTGCCAAATGCCGTTGACACTTAATGACTATTGATGAATAACGGGTCAAGAAGTACACAATCCCGATAATCCGTCGAATTAAAGTAAGGCCGTAATTAAACATCTCGGGCGTTGCAAGCAATGCGGTCACCTGATATACACTGAGAGGACCGCCTGAGCAGCTCTGCATTAACCACAGTGTACTGAACTCAACGATTTTGCAGTCGTTTGTCTTCGCCGCTGTGAGAGACTCCCTGTATCTACAAATCTGTTGGATGTTTGAAATGGTCTCGCAATTTTGTTAACCCTACGGTCGGACTCAATGTTTGGTACAGGGAAACGTGTACCTCCATGTAGAGCGGTGCATAACTATAAATCCTGCACGCTTTTTGAAGAAGTTTTCAGTCTTGACGAGGAACTTGGAATTGCACTTGCTGTGCTGATTTACTTCTATACTTGTTGTACTCTCTCTCTGAGCTTTAGTCCTGCGATACTGAACAGGAAGGAGCGTTGACCAAGTTATTTCTCAAGTTGATGTCCTCCAGTTGATCAACTTTCGTTATGGAAGTTCAAACGAGTGGGAAGCCAATTGACTCCGTTCTCGATAGAGTTTTGTGCATGAACATTTTATCATCAGACTATTTCAAAGAGCTTTTCCGACTCAAGACGTACCACGAAGTAATAGATGAGATATACAATCAGGTGGACCATGTTGAACCATGGATGACTGGGAACTGTAGGGGTCCTTCGACAGCTTTTTGCCTTCTGTACAAATTTTTCACAATGAAGCTCACGGTCAAGCAGATGCAAGGATTACTCAACCATGGTGACTCGCCTTACATTCGTGCGGTAAGGGATTTCTCGCACACGGTCTTGCCTTAGACTTACTTGAAAAATTGTTCTTTCATGGTGGTGATCTCTTCGAAACGCAAATCTTTTCAATTCCAAGCGTTGATGGTTGCTTGTGCTTAATTAACTATGTACTGCGTACGCACATACTATCATCTCATTCTCGCCTCGCACAAACATCTGGGCTCCAATTACTGGCAGTTTGTGTAATTTGATTTCGTGATTATCCACCGTCATTTCCACGAAATTTTTGAACTGCTAGATTGGAGATTCTTCCATCTCTCGATGTTTACTACTCTTCTGCGAAATTGATAGTAGGAAAGAATATGGAACCCATTTTTATACATTTTTTGGTCGGGTATTTAGTTTCAAACAATTATCATGACCTCGTTGGCTGTCGTGAATCACTATGCCGAGTAGAAAGCAGTCAGTTGCTTATCTTGCTGGTTGTTGGATGTTAGGGAGCATCAAGATGTTTGGCGACTTGCTAGGCGTTGGCATGTAGGGGCTACCTGTGGATTGCTTATACATCTTACTGCATTGTATATAGATGGCAGTTAAACAACTTTGAGTCTTACCTCATCTCAGGGCTAATTTATAATTGGAATATTGCTGGAGTTTATTTGTGCCGAAGCTATTGCTGAAATTGAGGAGGAAGTGAAGAACCGTGAGAAGTTGATCCTCCTGCCAGGACGGAGTGTTCAAAGTCGGATCCAGGGGCGATTGTCTTGAATTGCTGGTCTATTGGTCGCAACGTTTGAGAAAGGAACCAGACGATCTTGTAAACTTGTCATAGTTTGATCTAGTTCTTCTCCAAATTGAATTCTGTACATATGCTCTGGCATGAAGACCTTAGACAAAAGACTCATGGAGTTTATGGAAAATTCTGATACTAAGTCAGACCAAATATCATCTTGGTAGGCAAGCGACTCCAGATTGAATTATGGGCTGCTGCTTGAGGTACCAACATTGAACAGCAAGACCGTCTTCGAAGTGACAGCGATTAGAAATATGGAAAGAGTTCTTCGTAGACTGTACGAGTGGTAGCAGTGCTTAAAACCGCTGTACTTGAACACCTGAGTACACAGGAAATCGCTAAAGCGAAGTGGAAATAGCCGCATTAGCCGATTCCTGCGTCCTAGCACACATACCACATAAAGTTGCTGAAACATGGTTAATCTCGTGATCGAAGAAAGTTATGGAATCACGAAGGCTGCCTACACATCCGAGTGGTCCTCTGTTTGGTGGTCGTTTTGAAGTCGAACGGTTTAATCTGTTACAGGACATTGTGTTGTTTATGTCATGATGCCGAAGTCCCTGGATATGTCATGGTATGCGGTAAAATAATTTTTTTCAGTCGATAATGAATACAAAGCCCATGCGGCTCTTTTTCTTCCTGATTGCTTTGGTTCGATAGAGCGTAATGTGATCTTTCTTTTAGTAATCCATGTCCGCAGCAATAATTACAGATAGATACACGAGGATTATGGACTAGTTCGGCCTTTGACACCATATTTTGGTTCATAGTGGAAAGCTTACGGAGATGGTGTCATAGTCTTTCCGCGCTACAAACCCGGTCTGATCTTTTCCATTTTAAATGAGTGTTTTGTTTTCTCCCAGAATCGTAGTTATTTCCTTGCACAGAACCATTTTTTTGACTACGTCATTATTTGGAATTTGTTTTGTTGAAACTTTCCCGACTTTTGTAAATGCAACGTATCCACCAATTTAACTTCGAATTCGCCATTATTTTATGAAACATCAGGAACATCTTTCAATCATGAATGTCTGATCCAAGTAACACGTCAATGCCTTTTGGAAGTTTTACATGTGAGAGACCTTAAGAGCATACCTCGGTCGATCAAACATCGTTGATAGTAAATCGATCTGATTGGTGCCTTGAAAGGGAATTTGCAGGGTATTTTCTTCCGAGGCCACATACAAAACTCATACCTTTTGAGCTCTTCGTAAGTTTTAGAAAAGTTTTGTATGCAGCTAGCATTAGTACACATCTGTACACGTTTGGCATATTTGTTGGAAACAACCACCCTTTTAACCTTGTCTCGTTCGGCTTAGAGTTCTCCTCAGCCCTCGTGCGGTTTAGTGCAGAATCGTATGCACCTCGGTATTGACTGATGAAGCAGCCGAGTCTACGTGACCTGTATGTGATGCTTTCCGTTCAAAGATGGTCGATTTTCACTGGAGGACTTTCTTGTGTCGGACTGGATCCTCTATATCTCGCATATTTGGTTCCCAACGCTTTCAATTCGACAGCTGTTCTCCTCCCTGTATTACCGTGAGTTGCTTCCTTTAGGCTTTCGTACTGATGCTTCTGTTTCTCTTCCAGTAGTTTTCAGTTCATGCATGACACGTCCCACTTCTACCATCATTAGCTTCTTGTTACTTTTCATCCAGGAAAGTTCGTCGGCACCTTTGAGACCTAACACCTAGATTTGTGCTACTTCGGTCCCTTGCATGCAAAGCTCTTGCGGCTGATTAGCTCTATCGTATGTATACGTGAAGGATACAGAAGAGAATAATAGTTTAGGGTTTCTGGACTTATGTTCGAATTATCTTTCTGTTTTTTCAGTACGCAGAGCGATAAGGCTTGTCTTGTCGTCAATTTTCATGAAAGTCTCATGTATATCTTTTTGTCGCAATCTTTTGAAGCTTGGTATACACAATCAGGCTGAGTCTTCTGGGCTTGTCAATAGCTAACTTTCATCCTTCAATTTCTTTTACTTACTTACAGGTATTGTGAGTTGTTACACCTCTTGTTTGGATGACTTAGTTGTTACGTAGACATGCTTGCTTTGAAGATTATAGCTTGACGTAGATTATATGTGGACTTGTTATATCCGTCAATCCCCCATGACAGTGCTGGTAGCTTGCGAAATACGGGATAAAGACGAGCGGACTTCTTAATTATGCTTTTATGCGTGAAGTAGTTGATTTGTCTAGAACTCTTCTCAATCAAGGATCTTTATATATAAAGTTACTAAGGAAAGTACGTTCGGTTGCAAAACACATACTTTACTTGTACGGTCACCAAGCTTCAATTACTCTCGACATATTCAACGACAATGTCAAAGGTTTACAAAGCCATTTCGGTAGGTAGGGAGCGATTTGCAGACCGCTTTAATATTGTCAACTTCTCATATACTTTTCAATGCTTTCAGTTATGACGGATCCATTTCCTGCTGCTGTTTGCTTAATACTTTATTGAAACCATTGCTCAACCGTTTTTTTAACAATCTGGAGGTATGTCAGCTGCACAATGTTATCTTCAACTAGAGAGAATGATTTCTCTCTTCTTATTCCACTTTTCGTCGTGTAAATCAGCAAAAAAACTATGTCTTCATCAACTGGAACTCCGGATAGAATTATTTGAATTTGGAGATATACTCGTCAGGATTCTTTTCAAGGCTCTGGTTGCTTTCGGATTTTTTCGTGTTTTAGCTTACCTGGTGGTTTACGATGTTCAGAATACGTCTGGGCAACAGTGATGGAGCTACTCCATCGTCTGTTGGATTTTGATTTACTTTCAATGTCGTCCAATGCAGAAACCTAGTCAACCCGATACTCACTGATGAAGTGGGTACCAGGGTGAACAGCCGGGTTCTTGTGTTGATAGAGTGATGCCCGTGGGGTAGTTACTGCTTATGGTCTCCAGTTCTTTTCTCGCATGGGATTCAAGGAATGAAATCCGTCTTGGTCTTGGTCTGGCTCTAACCACGTTTTGTTCTCTTATTCATGCACTTCATCCCGACGGATTGTTGCTGCCTGCTACCTCCTTTCTGGACCTCACGCTTTGCTTCTGTTCTTCTGCATGCAACAGCCATCTTTTCCTCCTTGGCTTGTTGGGCTTCGAGTTTTCCTCAGCTCCCGTGTGGTCCAGTGCAGAAACCTATGCACCTCTGTATCCACGGATAAAGCAGACGAGTTTGCGTGACGGAAATAGGCAGCTTCCCGTTTAATATTGTTGACGGTCACTGGAGAACTCCCAGCGCTATCAATTTGAAAGTGTTGGGAGAACTACGTGGGTAGACACTGCTTTCCATTCTCCACCGTTCCTCTACTCCTTGTGGGTTTTCACTTCTAACTCGTTCCCTTTGTGCATCTACCATTCAGTCTGAGCATGCTTTTTTAACTTCATCACAGACCAGCTTCCGTTCGTACTCAGGTCTTGCACTCGGTCTTGGTATATATGTGGTTACTTTCATTTACCGATTTTACCGCTGCAGCCTGTTGTTGGGTTTGTTTCCAACCACGTGCAAATAGTTTATGCAGGGACTTCTCTGAGCATCGGTGATTGGTCTTGCGCATGCTACTGTGCTTTTTGTCAGGAAGTGTAGGCTTCAACATATCGACTACCACTAGATTGTTCTGTATAGACCATCATTTATAATAGTAGATGTTTGGCAACAACACAAAACCATTCTATGTTGATCTGTTCCTCGTTTTCCTCGTCGTGACATGAACCGACGCCTCTGTGATTTGTAGTCCACGATCACTAGTGCATGCCTTTTGGATTCTCTATTTTGCTGGGTGCACATCTCAGTTCTTCGAAGGAAACGTGATTAAGTTTGGAATGGTACCAAATGGCCATCAGATTCCTAGGGACCGGGATTGATTTGTCAAAAGAACGGGAGTAACATGAGTGCCGGATGAAACTGCTCATTATCGAGACCAAAGCTGCGCGAGCAAATTACCTCGACTTTGTCGCCTTGAAAAGGTTTTTAAGTACGGTGCGTTCAAGACAGAGCAACTCCTAGTTTATTCAACGTGCCAATCGAGACAACGAACTGGTTGTATAAAGCTTAGTTTTGTTGCCCTCTTTTGAGTTTCCTTAGGGCACAACTACCGTTGGCTTCAAGCATGGTTTCCTTTCCATATACGTTATGGACAATGTAGAGCCTGAAATGTAAATGATTAAATCCAGGTATCCCCTGATTTGCAATGTAACGGAGCAAAGGCTTAACAAAATCACTTGTACACCACTAAGTCCCGACGTAACTTTGCGCAATATACATTTTATCCGTTTTTTGCGTTTCTGTTGCTTTCTCTTTGACGTCGATGGTGATAATCGTTGGTTCGAATTGAGGTTTTGTGTCAATCTCTATCTTTTTTAGCATTTTGTACCCGGGATTCTATCGTTCTCCAGCTGGTCTTTCCCATTAAATGGGATGCTTACTTCTAGCATCTTACTTTTGCAGTTGGATTCGGATGCATTTTAGTTGCAGTCGGTTCTTTTACTCCTGCATATACTTTCCGATATCATTAGCAGAAACGCTACAATAGTAGCATCGAGTTCTTGACTTTTAACTCTCGTACCGTGCTGGCGGATCTTGCAAACCACGTCTTCATACCGGCTAGATTACGTGCAATAAGGATACAGAAACTTCTCTATATTGCATCTTGAATCAAATTTTTTTCTCATTATTACAGAGTAGATTTGTGGTGGTTTTATCCAACCTCGACTAAACTGACTAATCTTCTTCTTCCCTGTCTTATTCTAATTTACGCGGTTCAGCCAGCCCGTGCGATCTATGATTTCAGGCTACTACAGCCAACTGCTAATGGTCACAGCGTTCTTGAGCTCCGTAGTGTGGGACAATTGTGCCATCAACGACTTCAGTTGGAAGCGTCCTAGTCTTTAGCTAACTTGACTGCTCGATCGGAAGTATGGAGCTAGATAACTTCTGTTCCATCGTCAAGGCTTCCGTCACCTTTGAATGACCTTCAGGTCGTTTGGCGCCTTAAGCAGTTACTGCGATCAAGGAGCAAAATAGTAGGGAGGAAGCTAATAAAAAAATCTGTTCTCTTTCCCTCCACTATGCATTCGGACTTGTTGGATTTCAGTCAGTGTCTGAAGGATTTCTTGCTTTGGTATCTGCCTGAAAATCAAAGTTGGGTGATCACTCTCATTCAGATGAAGAGCATGGTGGGGAACCACCTCGCAATATGCCACCTCGCAATCGGCGCCTTGTGTGGCGTCATGACTTCTTTGAGCGTCGAGAAGGTGACATTGAAAAGAGGACGAACCTATGACCTGGCCATGACTCGGTTTCTGCACAACCTTTGCGAGAATTAGAGCAGAATCTGTTTTATAAATCGTTCGGCTGCTGGAGCTAGAAGTGCTTTCAAATTTTTTCAACCTTGAAATTAGATATGAAGGTTACCGTGCTCATAAGCAGCGTAACAAAAGAAAACAAAAGAATGTAGATGAGTTTGTGAAGATGTCCACGATGACATTGGAAAGCTGAGAAGAAAGTCATCGATGGGGACCAACCCCTGAATGAGACCTTCTACACTCTCAGATAGTCATATCGCTGTCTCTTCCTTTACTCCTTTATTTTTCCTCATTTCTTATTCTTCCTTTCTCACTGGGAGTCTTCAGGCCACGAGAGGTACATTCCAAAGAATAAAGAGCCTGATGCCGTGATGACAATGAACCTAGTACCCACCTGTGTTTTTATTTTGTTCTGATCTCTTTTTTATTCTCTTATCTTATCTTGACGCAAAATCCTGTGTCGACACATTTCCTGGTTTCTGTTCGTACCTCAAACGCTGTTTACTCACATGCATGATCATCAAGTTCACATTGCGTTGAGTGACCTTGATATGTATCACTGTAATGTCGAAATGTTATTTTTCTAAGTTCCCGATCTGGTCTAAAGTACTGGTTCAGGTTAAGTACATCTATAAACACTGCGTAAAGAGTACACACTGCTTGAGACATGCGCTTCAAGGCGATTAGCAGGATGTTTTTTTTCCCATACTTTTTACACTACTGTCCCATACATTGTCGTTACAGAAATCTGGTTGATGAGTATGTCGGTGTTTTTGGTTATGCAAAACTGCTCTTTCTAGGCTTGAAGCAGGACGTATAAGTTTTGATGTAACTCTTCGTTTCATTTTTTTTTTCTGCGCCAAGTTATCAAGCAGGTAGTCTTCTACTGTTTACTTATTGTAGAATGATCAGTTGAGTAAGTGGTAGGGTTACACTTACAGTGTCTGAAGGGAGAAATTATATAACTTGCTGTAGTATATCTGTAGAGATGATCGATCTGACTAAGCTCACTGAGTTTGAAGTAATTGTACAATATTCAAACTTGCATCACTTAATTCAACATTCATCACTTAATGTATGTGGATTTCAGCTATATACGAGGAACACAGTGTCGCATTGGGTGCTCCCTATCAGAGTGTCACTAGGTTTTTTCGGTATAGTTCTAGTATTTTTTGTGCACAGCATAGCCGAAAAACTTGACTCTGTCGGTCCCTTGAATCTTCAATTATAGTGGAGACATCTAGCTCCCACTGGTTATTTTAGACGCGTTATACATGGAAAGGTCTACAATAGTTGAAATTTGATCTGAACGTTATATACTGAATCAGGTTCGCAACTTGTTTTGTTGGCTTTGTGTTGCAGGTGGGATTTTTGTACCTGCGGTATGTCGGAGATCCGAGAAGTTTATGGGGATGGTTCGAACAGTACGTTACGGACGAAGAGGTATCTTCACGGCTTGCTCCCAGACTGTATCACGATTCATTCAAAGTTGTTTAAAGACGGTCTCTCTTGCCAAAGTATGTGGACTCCCATGGGCATTAGCTGCACTACCTTCTTGGCGAACTTTTACTTGTCCTCATGCAACCTCGACTCGATACAACGGTTCTTCTCCATTTCGGAACACAACGATCTCCTCGCTGGAATTTACAACCTTCTGCGATGTGTAGATGATCTCTTCGTCCCTGCTGTTGCGGAGTTTTAAGATAATATGTAAATTTCTCCAGACGCTATCGGGGGTTGTATACCGTCGGGAAGCCTGCGAAGTAGATTAGACTTTTTCTTTCCAATGCATGCTTTATGGACCTTACTTCTTTCCAAACTAGAAGTGCAGGTCTGTATGTTAATCGATGATAGCCATAGTTTGGACAACATCAATTGATTACTCTTCCACAATCTCTCTTTTGCATTCCTTACTATGCTAAATTAGGACTTAGTCAAGGCTTAAGTAGATCTTTTCTCCATTATATATACCTTTCGACGACATCTAGGCCACGCCTTATGCATGTTTATTTCGAAATATGACACACAACCCTACACCATGTCCATGATATATGGTACCCTGGCTTCTGTCCTGCGTCGGAAGTTGTTCCGTTTTAGGTTGTTTTGCTATGGGGATTTCGCGCCTGCACAATAGGCTACTCACGGCGGGGAGTTTGTTCACAACCCCGTTTGTAATTTAGTTTGGCCACATCTTCAGTTCCTTTTCCTTTTTCTTTTCCTTTCAGCGATATGGTTCTTATATATGTCCTTTTTGTTTTCTTATACGAACTCATCCACCCCTTTTCTTTTCCGTATTTGCTGACACTTTGGGTTTGGCTTTTCTCTGACTGTCTTTTCCCGTTTGAATGACACTTAGTTCTTGCTTTATACCTGTGCTCTTTTGTCCTGCATACATGGCGGTTTTTAGTAGAGCAACATTTTCTAAGTTCTCTTGGACTTCGTTTTCGATCCGACATTCCGATATTTATCGCTATTTTCATTGGTAGATATTGCTAGGCAGTTTTGACATAGGTCAGGTCAACAGCCATCGAGTTTTCCTTGGCTTGTTGGGCTTCGCGTTATCTTCAGCCCTCGCGCAGGTCAGTGCAGAAACCTGTGCACCTAAGTATTTGCTGATGACGCAGGCGAGTTTATGAGAAGGGATTTTGGCTCTTCTCGTTCAATTATTGTCGATGGTCACTCCAGCGTTTTTCCATTCCTTGCCATGTTGCAATTTCGCATTCATTCTCTGTTTTTCTCTTACCTATTCAGTTCATGCATGACATTTCTTGGCTTTTTGTCTTTTGTCCTCATTCCTCTGGTATACTATGTTAACACCTCGATTTGAGTTGCTTTGGTCTTAGGCAATGCAAGCTCCTGCGGTTCTATATTCTCTATGTTTATTATAGCCTTTGAATAGATATTCAGGATCGATAAAACCACTGTTCCTTGTAACTGTTTGGTAACTGTGAACCTTCCTCTTCCAGTCTCTCCAAAATCTCTCAATTCCAGTTCAACCTCGGTGTAAGCAATTCTCAAGTCCTACGTTTTAATACTAAATATACTTACAGGAATAGCCTTGTTTGGGCTATCGTTACGTTAATCCCGAAATATAGAATGCAGCACTAGGATTTGCGCAGACTCATTAGTTTGTTAGCTTCTATGTTCGAAAGGGATATCTTTTTAAATTTCCTCCATCGATGTTAATCTACTAAATAGTGTGACAGTTAATGTATGATTAGCGGCGAGCATAATCTTAAGCTCGTTGCCTAGGTCTCAGCTTTTCTGCTTTTAACTAAATATTACTGTCTGTCGACTTGTTGCTTTCATATTTCAGGATTCTTTCCAAGGCTGTTGATGCTTTCGATACTTCTCAAAGGCTCTGAATGCTTTCGATGCTTTCGATTTATACCTAACCTGGTGATATACGATATTTACTACCACAGGTCTGGGCAACAGTTGTAAAGACACTTCATGGTCTGTTAAGTTTTGAGTTTTCCTAAACCTCCGCGTGGTTCAATTCAAAAACCTGTCTACCCCTCTACTCAGTGATGAAGTAGGCCGGATTCTGTGTCATCGGAGTGCTGCCCGTCGTGTAAATAACGTTGATGGCCCTTGGTTCCTCTCCTCGCATCTGATTCGAGGACCTAACTGCACATTGAACTTTCAGTGCGTATGCAGTCGTTTGTCCTTCTAACCATGTTATCCTTTACTTATTTGTTAATGTTGCACCATATTCCTTGGTCTGCTTGCTTTCCCTTCTCTGAGACTCACTTGTAGGCTGCTGTTCTGAACTCTCTACTTATGCTTGCCTTAGAATTTTGTGTACTTCAGATGGTATGCTTTGCCATGTTTCCTTTGCTATGTTTCCAACCTGGTCTTTCGTGCCTAATAATTACAATGCGTCGGGCCATGCCATAGATAGAGTCCCCATGGTTGTACCTATAGGGTCTCTGTTGTCCGGTCTCCTTGGGTGTTAAGCCCTTGCGCTTAATCAGGTTCCAATTCAAATATCTCTTCCAGTATGTTTGCAATTTTATTGTCCGCTACATATCTCAACAGATATGTTTATTCTCTTGTACATTCATGTAAATCTCAACAGACTTCATGTTCACGATTGCTGACATTTTTCTTCACACAACTTGCGGCGGACTAGATTGCTTCCGATTTTCGCGCTCCAATTACTATCTGAGTAGGTTATACTTTCTTCGCTTCACATGTGCATTACTTTTCCTCATATTTTGTTCTGCAGGTGTCTATGCCGCTCCAACTCATATCGTAGAGGTTACAATCATGCTTGCGGTGTTTACAGTATGTGCAAGACTTACGCTGTTTTTATGCTTGGACTATCCGTCTTAATGCTCGAGGCAATCGAGACGCTGGTCCAAGCCTCCCGGATGCAGTTTGTGCGCCCTTTCTGTACATAGTGTCTATGTCCACTCTGCTCTATGAGACATTGTTCTAATCACGTGGTTTCTGCTGGTAATGGTCATATGCACAAATTTTATCACAACGATTTAACTCTCATAGCCTGAAGACGATGGACCTTGGATAATCTGTGCGAGTAGTAACTCATGCTTACAGACAATGTTAAATACACATCACTGTATGTTTGACTCCTCCTTCATACATGAATAACGGTTAAGTAGAGATCACGGTTGTGTAATTGATCAAGTAAGATTAGAAGACTGACGATTACTGTCTTCAATTCATAATTAATACTTCAGGTTAATGCCGAGTGCAGGAGTTTGCTCCAGGATGTAATGGAAAGAAGACCACGATGGGTGTCTTTGTCTGCGATCTTCTGTTGGATCAGGTTTGGTTAACCTTGTCTCTTGTTTTCATTTACAGTAAATTTTTGCCAATTTTCTTTGTCTTCTCCTCATGTGTATTGCACCGACTATGTGCACGCGGCCCTATGATTATTCACATAATTGGACAGATGACTTCCTGATCATGAGGCCATTTGGTCGGAGCTGCTTATGGACGAAGATTTGGAACGTATTATTGGCTGCCCCTTCCTCACAGTTTGGTTTAAACAAACTGCTACGTTTTTCTACCGATATCTCTTCGTTTGGAGTCTTTCGTTCAGTTTTGCTTCATCTTGAATCTCTGTATGTCAGAGAATTTTTTAGTACGCATAGCGCCGGGCTCCCCGTAGGTACTAGATTAATGATACAGAGAATTTGGTCAGTCAAATGTGTACATATACTTAAACCTCTGGAAGTTGTCTTGCGTTCCTATCGGACTCCTCCACCTCCAACTTTGAAACTGTTGACAGAGATTTCTTGCTAGACGTGTGTTTTGTCTCTCACAGATCATTCTGTTATTTTGTTTGTTAGAATTATAAATTACGATGAAGCCACTAGATCTACGAGAATGTAAAGCAGTGCGTACCCCACCTTCCCTTCATAATATTTCCAGACCATACAAGGTTTGCCTTGTATCCTACGAACTGGCTAATTGGTCTCTACCTACTTATCTATTCCGATGGGCTGGATTATAATGTTAGTGTCGATTGAATTTGTTTCCGATATGTTGTGTGTTCACCGAGGCAGTCGCTTTTACAAGTGAACAAAAGGACTCCCTATGCCGGCATGTCTACTTTGTTCACCTAGGAGAAACTGCCCTATAGCTACCTTCCATGATATCTAATTCAGTGTCTCTAGTGGACAATTTACTGTCCGTGCAATGAAAGATTGCTCTCTATCTTTCTTCTGTCAACCTACACCAAGCACTACGTTTTTATCACTTAACTCCTCACGCGTGGTTGTCAGTAATCGAGAGGTTTCGATCAAGGCTCGTGCGAGTTATCACTTTATTGGGGAACTTTTACACGTGGCTCCTTTTTTCATTATTATTTAACAAAGAACTGGACACCTACCATGAGCTTGCACCATTTTGGTTGCATCTTCTTATTTTATTTATATTTTCAATATTGGATTTACTCAAGTCAAATATATGCGCTTTGACAAACTTGAGTCAGCTGCATTGCACTCTATAGTTCTTTATCATGTTTTATAGATATATGTGGATCCAGATGTATATATCCGGACCGAAACCCTACGCGAGGACGTTCAATCGAGACGTGTCTGCACTCGTTCTCATCGACAAGAGGTCCTCAGGACTGGTAATGAGGTCTTGGAAATAGCGGGGGCGGATTTATGCGCTCCCTCTTTCTTCCCTGATTACAGTAGTTATTTAGCCTCTGGACTTTACCGTCTGAATATATATGTACATAACTGCACTCTTTTAAGGGCAGTCGCAGCCCCCCAGGCCCGTACTAATTACTTGTTTCTTGGTCTCGGTATCTATGTATTCAGCCTCTGGACTTCTAACCAGCATCTGTAGAGTCTAACCTAGCACATCCACTTCGGAAAGGTTAACTGTTTATTTCTCGTGTTTTTGTTAACATTTGATCAATCATTTCATCGACAATCTGGATGGCTTCCGGATTATTTGTGAAGCTTTTACCACTAGTTACATAGAGAATTTTTTCTCGGGATCGAATATCGTTATATATATAGTCCGTCGTATCAGTTGTAACTCCTTGCTCCCTGTATTGGAATAATTGAATTACAAGCACTCAGTGTGAACCCAACACCCTGCTGTTATGTTTAGTCGTGCGGGCCTGCCTTTTGTGCAAGTCACTTCAAAGTCACACAATTTATAATTGTTTTAATCGCTCTTGGAACTGCAAAGTATATATTTAATTTATTACCTTGGCTCATTATCAGTTTGTAATGTTCGTGAATTGATCTCTACGCTCATTTCCACCTCTTATTGAAGGTAACGGGTTAATATTGAAGTAGGTTGTTTGATTTACGAGCCACGTACAGCCACATAACTTGTTGAGTGATTGTTATGTGATCGTAGTACTACTTCGACACTCTCTTTCCACGAATTCCCGTACCTGTTCTTCGGCAAATAACTGCGAACCTCGAACGGATGAAGCTCTCCGTACAGCCCGCTGGAGTAACCGGAACTGGTGGTCGTCATTCATCGGATGATACTGCACGCAGGCCTCCTTCAGTGAAAGCTGCATTGTCGGTTTCGTTTGGGCAGCGAGCTCCTCATCGAGCTTCCACTCGTGATTCATCCCCTATTCGACGATGTGCTTCCGTATCACGGGAGTCGCGCACTCAGTTGAATGATCAGAGCAGTCTGCAGAAAAAAGGCGAGAGGGTGTTGACTGGTGCTAATCTAGCCTCTTTCAGCCGTCATGAAAGAGATAGTAACAGGGAGAGGTCTGGAGAATTTGACAAAGCGAGGGAAAGAACTAGGCAGAACCCAAGAATATTAGATACTGAGAATGTCCGAGACTCGGAACGGACCAGAGACTGGGACCGAGGAAGCCACCGTCACACTGAATACTATACCAGTAAAGAAAGCAGCAGAGGCAGGGACTCGAGAATAAATCGAGGGTATGGGAGATACAGAGAGGACAGTAGGTCAAGAGACTGTGAGAGAGAAGAAAGATGGAATTTGGACAGGATAGAGAAGGGAATTTGTAGAAATCAGAGTAAACTCAAGGACCGCGATAATGGAAGAGATAACACGGTGGGGAAGAAGTGGGAACGTTATTATGACGACAAGCAACGGAGCCGAAGCCGCAGCCGAAGCCGAAGCCCACGACGAGAAAAGACTGAGGTGGACTCGCTGTCAACGAGGGTTTCTCCTGGGCAAGCAATCATTCCTTCATCAAATCTAGCAAAACTACGAAATGTGTACGGGGATGGTAGTACCAAGAATCAGGATGCTATGCACGACACTACTGATTGCAAAAGTGAAAGTACAGATATAATCCGTTTAGGTGGTGATACGTGGATTTGAGGTCACTACTTTTCCACGTACTGACCACGTCCGCACTGTACTAGATTTCAGAGGTATATGAAGGCTTTCTGCTTTACAAAATTTCGCCATCAAGGCTTCTGACGAAGCCGTTCTTGCCATTTGCATGCTCCATATGGACAGAGAAAGACCACGGGTGTGAAATGCTTAAAAGAAACTCTTGGTTGTAGGTTAATATAGTATCTATATTCTTACCGGTTACTGATGATGCCACCTTGAGTGAATCAATTTCTTCAACCCATTCTCTTTGATGGGGTCTTCCAATTCTTTTGCTGAATAACTTGGCACGTTTGAAACTGCTGGTACTAAAGTTCCTGTCGTTTGATAAGTGCTTCTGTTGTCTGTCTCACTTCTTGTTCATAGCATGGGTTACAGGTGTGGATTGAATGAAGTACTTTCCATCTCTAAAAGTACTGGATGTTTACTGTAGATCCAGTACTTGCTGTTTTCTCTCTATGATAACAGGTTTGCAATGCAAGAATTTCTTATTTTTCAACAACCTTTCCTAGCTTCCTAGTCGTGTTGCTTTCCACTGCCGTTGTGATCCAAAATAGATGCTTGAAGATTATGGGCTATAAAACAGTCGATAAGATCTGTTCAATCCTCGAAATATAAAGATCAACGCCTTTGTTTTTGTCTAAACAAGCTGGAGTCATAGAAGATTGTTTTGCAAACTTCATCTTCTGCAAACTTTAACTTTATTTAATTCTTCTCCAAATTCTATCCATGTTATCCTCTTTATCCACTCGTTTTCCTCATCTATCTATTTCGTGTTTCATGACCATTATCGTAAGCCTAGTAAACTTTGCTGCGTCAAACACTTTCACTTCCTACCAAGATTCGTCACGCTTGCGTAAAGAGTTTGATTTGTTTTTCAAGTCAGCAGAACAGAAGACTGCATGGTTACATAGTCACCTCTCAATCGAACAGTCCTAGTTAAACAACTTTAGTTGTTCAACCTATCAAACGCTACGTATATTGAGAGTGGGGTACTGACTTAATTTGCTTGATTTGTTCATTCTTAGATTCGTCTAAGAATTATAAACCTTTATTTGAGCTAAGAAGAATAGTTTTTTGAGCAAATGGCGAAATCCGAACTATTTAAGTCTAATTTAGCTATTTGAAGGATATCATCATTGTGGTATATATCTAGATTGTGAAATATTATAATATTTTGTAGTACAGTTTTATCATTTTCAGTTTAAATTTGATTTCCAATTGGGTTTTTTAACTTATGAAAGTTGCAATAATCAAGTTTTTTTGATAATATATTAACTTATGTAGATTTAAACATTTATATCCAAATAAGTCTACGCAACTATAAATTTTACCATCAAGATTTTCCTCAAAATACGATTTCACAATATTTCGGTTGATATATATGAACTAGTCTTTGTCATAATACATTCTTGTAGTTGGTTGTAAAGTTTCAAAATTTGTAAATTTGTTTTAGGGTTTATTACAGCTTTCCTACTTTTATTATCCCTTCCAGTACTGGCAGGTGTATTCGCGCCTGATGAGGTAGCGATGCCTTGGTCGAATATGACTATACGCTGGAAATTCCGCAAGGACAATCAGCAGGGAACGAACCATGACGGCGATGTTTTTCAATAAAAGAATTTGACTTTTGAGCTGCCGGGCCTTAAATTCCGAACCAATAGGGGATAGGCGGCACTTTCCAGACCCACAAAGTTCAGCGCGGGCCGGAGAAAGTTATACAGTGTCCTATTCAACAATAAGACGCCAAAATAGGGAAGTCGGAAGGTAAGGTCGCCCCGGCGTGCTTAAGAAAAGGTTATCTCGCTTTTAAATAATCATCAATTTTTTTCGTATTTAAAAAAAATTTAATACATTCAATGAAATAATGTCAGATTTAAATGTATTTTTCTAAGATACGAGAATATATGTAATATACACAAATTTTACTAAAGGATTCACTTAATTCAACTCAGATATCATAATGTAACTAATGTCATAAATGAAAAAGAGGTTTATGAAAGAAACTGTAGTGTTTATAAATACAGAGTAAAACGCTCTATATTTATTTGAATGCTTCAATATATTCTTGATCAATTGAGAAGCTCAATAAATACCATTTTGCTTCGGAGCATATATTGTAGTGAGATGGCAAATATACACTATTTTGACAATAAACTAAGATATAAGTTCCTTGCCATTATTCAAATGTAAAGTCTTCCATGTTTTGTCAATTCAAATTTCAACTTGAACTCTATTTTTTCAATTTAACGAATATTTTTACATTTGATAAAAGATAAATTTACTGAAAATTACTAGAAATTATATATGAGACATGTATATGACAACTTTTCCAAGAGTGAAAAAATATGTAATTCTCTCCCCTCTTTATGTGTATGTTGAAGAATATCCTTAGATTCATGTGTTACATGGCCAAAGCAAATCAATGATCCAATTTTTGCACAACAATGCTCACAAAATTCTAAAGTACTAAACCAAAATGTAAAGATAGTAACTTTTTTGGCAAGATGTAATTGCTACTCTTTATCTCGTGATTTACTATTGAATGTCACAAGAAGTAATTATTATGCATTTCTTGACAAAGAATATCTACCTCTAGCAGAAATAAATTTGGTGTGTACTTTTTTTCAAGATGATCTTTCTTTGCACTTATCATCATATAAGTCTTATGAACTAAGATCTATCAAATCTTTTTTTCATACTTTTGATTGTCAAGTTTACTTAATTGACAATTGTCAAACAAAAGTTTATCAATCATTCCAATCTACCCTTATCTAATACCTTCAATTTGATATGTTTCATCATTCCTATCAACATCAAATTGTTTGATATCAAATACAAATGATTTTTGTAGCATATATGATACTAACAAACATAATTGAAGATTCATTCATATTTATTTCATTGAAATGAAGTGCAAAGTCTGTAATGCATGCAGCACAAAGCATAGCTGTTATTGAGCTAATCAATTTCATGTTACTGTGTTTGTTGTCTACAATTTGTTGAAGACTATATACATAATGTGTTGTGATAATTTCATGTAAATAACTATTTTTCACATACTTACAAGATTGTAGTAATTGTTTTACATTGAATATTTTTAAATACTAGATCTTGAACTTGCCACTTATTAAATTTATATTTGATTATATATATATATATATATATATATATATTTACATTCATTCAATTAAGTCAATCAAAACTAACATGTAATTTTGACAAATATATCTATATAAAATTTTAAATTTTGGTAGTGAACAAAGGATATTTTTCATCCAACTATTTTAGGAAATACTTGTATATTCTTTTCAAATTTAAACTCAAAACTAATTTGTGTAATTGATTTTGTAATAAAATATATATTAAATTCAATATTTGATCAGTTTTAAAGCTAATACAATCATACAACAATGATGTGTAGATTGCTAAAATATCTATGTTGTTGCTTTCTATGTGAGTTACCTTGACAACATTCAAATAAAAATTCAATTGTGAAATCGCTCTATTATCAATTATAACTTTGTTTGACATTTTCACTTTTCACTTTGCTTTGTCATTGCAATTTGTATAAAAAAATGCTCATCATTGAACTTTATGCTCCATTAATTTATTCTATGCTCTATTATCTATATGTTTTCCTAAAACGTTTGGTAGCCTAACTATCAATCATTGTAAAGAGCTTGATATTTACAATTGTTGACAAAGATTTGACATTGACATTTTTAACACATCAACTTGTCTTCTTTGAACGTGTTAATATGTTCGTGAATTAAATCATTACAAGTTAAACATGTCATATTTTTTTATACAAGTTATATATATATATATATATATATATATATATATGCTGGCCTATCACATTGCCAATATTCATCGCTTGATAGTGAATTGGGTTGTAATTCTCATTCAAATCTTCACAAAAATTTATAAATAATAATCAAGCCTTGAGTTAAACTCAAGTTAATCTAATTCAAATTAAATTTAGGATAAGATTTACCCTAGTTAGTATCTTTGCTATTTTTCATGTATATATATATATTTATATATGTAGGGATAGGGAGCTACTCATTCTAACTCTAACAACTACTTTCTAAACAAATATCTTTTAGTTTTGTTGATTTTTAAAGAAAAAAAAAAAAACTAGGCACCACAGACTGGGACGTAGTGACATCAGTCACACGAAGGGTGTCATAGACTCGAGTGACTGTCAGGATGTTGAACTCAGTTCCCATAAGAGTCTTAGAATCTTCAGCGAAGTGGTTGGTGCCGAGTTGGAAAGAGTATGGCGATTCCTTCGTACGTACAAAGATGTATTTGCGTAACGAATAGAAGATATGAAGGGTATATCGGCTCACTATGATGAGCATCACATCCATTTAATGAATAATGTTGTACCCGTGCGTCAGCGGCAATACCGACGGAATCTGAAATACTCCCTGTTGGTTAAAACCAAAATTGACAGGCAAGATTCGCGTCTGTCAGGACTTCAGGAAGCTGAACGCAGCCACTAAGAAAGATCATCATCCATTACCCTTCACGGATGCTATCTTGGACCATGTGGTTGGACACGAATGTTATAATTTCCTCGACGGATTCTCAGGATACAACCAGGTGTCAATCCAGGAACAAGATAAAGATAAGACTACATTCACTACCAATTGGGGGACCTACGCATACCATAAGATGCCATTCGGGTTGTGTAACGCACGTGCGATGTTCCAGCAGATGATGACTACAATCTTCCAAGACCACATGAGAAAATTTTTGAAAATCTTTATTGATGATTTTTGTGTCTTCGCACCACGCGATCGGCACATGAGTTAACTTCAGCAAACGTTTGACAAGTGCCGGGAGTCATAGCTATCCTTGCATTCAGAGAAATGCTTCTTCTTCATGACAAGCGAAATCTTGCTGGGACACCAAGTGTCCGCGGAAGAGATAGCCGTAGACGCGGAGAAGGTCAAGGTTATTTTAGCGTTAGAACCGCCAACGAATCTTCGAGAACTTTGGGTCTTCCTCGGACATGTCTGGTACTACAGGAGATTCATCAACATGTATGCGATTACAGCAGCCAGTCTGACTAAGCTGCTGAGGAAAGACGAGCCTTATGAATGGGGAGAGTAGCAGCTTTTGAGGAGCTTAAAGACAAACTCACCTCGGCTCCTGTTTCGCGTAGTCCCCACTAGAACAAACCGTATCATGTATTTGTGGATACTTTGGCTTTTGCCATAGGTGCGGTGTTGAGTCAAAGAGATGAGAATAGAAG